CATTTGACCTTGGACAGCTCTAGCTAACTAACTATTCAACTGGACAATCGTGACGTTTGTTCGACCAGACGACCTCCAAAAGAACAATAGAGAATAGTGAATCAATAACTGAGATTGATTGATTGTTAAGAAAATCGATGTGTCTGGTGATGAAAATTTGTGAGAATGAACTCTTAAGGCAGTTAGCATGGTGACAAAAACCCGATCCAGAAACTAATGGTGAGATTACGCGACACACTGCGTCTCTCCCGCTACACCTGCGCTGTGATGGCAGCGCAAGCGAGAGGGGACTTTCCCGTCTGGCCCTCGTCTGCACACCTGACTGACGGCAATGTTTCACGTGAGAATTGCGGCGACCGGGCGGGGCTGTTGGACGATTGAGCTGGGAAAAACTGCAAAGGTGTTTGTAGCTACTACGGTGACTACAAACGCCGGTTGTGACGATTTGTACGGCTAAATAAAATTTCCATCAAAGGTCACAATAACAGCGCCTTTTTTCAACACCCGATTTTTCTTCCTATTCATTTTTGTTCTGACCATGAGATGCAGAACTAGCTGGGGTGGTGTGCCTGATTTCGGTTTACGGTAAGTGAGCAACGTAACCTCCCTTTCAAAAAGCGAGAAAGTGTCGGGTGCAGACCAAACACCACAACTGACGACGGCCTCCAAGTAAATCTGGTTAGAAGTTGTTCATAGTGATAGCTGATTTCTGGTAAATGATAGTTGAATACAACTGCAACAGGCTAATCATTTCATTGGCAGAAAACATTAACATTTTGTGAAGGCCGTCGTCACTTGTGGTGCATGGTCTGCACCCGACACTTTCTCGCTTTTTGAAGGGGAGGGTACTTCATGCCTCAAACTAATTCTGAAAGCAGAGGGAATTTCGTAGAAATGAAAACAGCTTACGCTCTCCGAATTGCTTACTACCTGAGCAATGTTCCTATAGTTCTATCGTCTTTGCGTTTACGTTTCGTTTTCTGTCGTGTGTTCATTGGCATCGCAAATGTTCTATTTAAATCCTGGATTTCGCATCGTCTCCACACCTGATCAGGATCGTGAACGGAAAGCGCTATTTTTACGTTGCCTTTTTGGTTATCGCTAAATTAGATCACAATAGGACGTGGTGATCTACCCTCGCCTTCAAATGACCAGAAATTGTGCAATTGCAGAAATTGACGTGGCATTAACGTGGCATCGATTCAAGAACATCTTTGAGCACACGTGATGTCACCTTTTCATCGAGAATTTAGCCACGTGTGCCACGTGGCTTAATGGCTGATGAAACGGACGACATAACGTGTTGACGCCAATCAAGCAGATGGTTATTGAAATCGCTCGTGCCACGTTGATCGTACCGTCAGTTCTCCAGTGCCACATTTCTTGGGGTTAAGTGAAGCGAGGGTAATTGATGCCTTTGTGCTCGATTTCACTCGAGATAACAGCCAAATTTAGGTTAGGAATATGACAGCGAGTGAGAGTCCGACGTTCAAGGACTTGGTGTGATGGCCTAGAGCATACATTATACGACACGATGACCATTAATCATCTGGGACGGTAGCAAAGTACCCTTAACTCGCAATCAGAAGTAACGATCGGAGATTCTAAGCAAAGAATAAAGAATGGAGAGTGCGATCCAGCCCAGATCAAGCAAGAGCTTCCTACTTTAGATTTCAGACGACAAAATATCAGGAAACGAATAAATAAGAAAAAAAAGGTTGCAAAAGTACCTGAAGATTATGGATCGCAGCTGCATTCTTTGATTCCTAACAGGTTGAGCTGGTCAGAGAAGAAAAAAGAGCACGGGATTGAGGAGGCGCAGTCACCACGTCTGACACGTATGACCCTCCAGTGAAAAGTGCTTCGGAGTACTTTTTAGTGAAGGATCAACGTGGCCTCTGCGTCTCTTTAACCCCACAGTATTTTTTTTCTCTGATTAGTTAGGAATTAGGTTTACAAGTTAACTGTCTAACTTCAAGTCAAATTGGTTTTTTTGGTTATGATCTAACTGTAGGTTAAACAAGACTTAATGTGTTGAGAAGCGCTCTGAACCAGTTATCTAAACTGACTTTGGTCTGAGCTAATCTCGACACGTTAAGTCTGAATTAATGAAGGTTTGCTACCGTCCCTGGTTTTCAGGTTCATATAGTAGCATATCTTAGTATAACTTTCTGGTTCTAGAGTTTTGAGCCGATTTACTATGGGAAAATCAAAATATTCAGAAAATCATTTTTGGCAGATTATACTGCGAATATTGTGCTTATTACGTCTCTATTGTTGGTTCACAATTTAACTTTCCCCCAATTTTTATACTTTCTTCTGAAAATTCCTGGGTCCAGTGTGCAAATTCGCATGTGTGTACCAAATGCATCAAAATTCTTGCTGAGAGCTGTAACCTCCGCCCACCAAACCAGCATTGCATTTGATGGAGGGAATACTACCATTTAAAATGCTCATCGGTTTTTCACAGTTTTCTCAAAAGACAGTAAAGTCTTTGAAGGGATGCCCGCAATCGTCGTCAAAAAGGTGGTCCTTAGTTAAATCAGTCAAACGGGGCTGCACCAGTCTTGTGCTGAAATGGTAGGACACCTTAGCAGTGACTGATCGAGTGATGCACAAACGCTTTGAACCAAGTTGATTGCACAAGAAATTCTAATAAATGTGCTCATCTGCTAGTCACGTGTGCTCAAAAAGGGTGCGTTTTTGACCCAATGGGGCAAAAAGACTTCGGGGAAAATTGTCCAGTTTGGCGCGAGTGAATTTTAGTTCTCCATCATACGTGCGCCGCTCTGAGTAACTTGTATTGTTCTTTTGTTCTAGGCGCTAAGTGTTAGCAGATGGAGGGGATGATGTTGTCGGGTGATGTGCAAACGACTACCTCTGTTTTCGAGGCGGCGAAAAGATGCCGTGAGGCTGTTAAATGGCCGAGGTTAGCACTCATACTAGGTAAATGGAGAAGTGCTAGGTGAGTCTGATGAAGTATGGTGTTTGCTGCGCCGGGGCGCGATTGTGAAATAAAAGTATTGGGGTGTCGCGAAACTTTAGTGCGGGGAAAACGACACGAAGATGATGCTAGGCCTAATGGTGTGATTGGATAAAAGCAAAGCGGATGTGAGCCAGTTTGCGGTTGGATCGATGCCTTTGGTGTGGCGAATGCGGCAGGCTTGCGCACTGTCCATTCTGTACAGTGGGCTAAGTGAGCGTTCGAAATGTGATTGGCCTATAGATGAATTAGGGAGCGTCATCCGATGTGAAAGTCGTGCTTTTCTTCCCAGAGAAATCGTTAGGTATCAATGCATCAACCAAGGGAATGGCAAGACTCGGCATTCGGCCTGGGACGACGCACGACCCGAGGGAATTGCAATTGGTTAAACGTGAATCCACTTGACCCGAAAACCACTGCCCACCCGGCTTGATGAACATTCCATGAGCTTGATGATTAACTTCATCTTCTAATAAGTTATCTTTGCTACTTATTTATTTATTTTTTATTTATTTGCACAAGTGAGACAATGTTATATTAAATGGGGAGAACAGTAACACAATAGCGTGTAAATATATAAATATATGCATATATACATGTACAGCAAATTCAATACGGGAAGCTTAGGATAATACAGGAGTTCAAAGTAAAGTTATGAAACAAGTTCAGTAAAGCAGCTGGTTGGGGGGTTTTTTTTATTTTTGTTTTTTTGGTTTGTTTTTGGTTTTTTTTTTATTTATTTATGTATTTCTATTGCCCAATGCAGACAATGTTAAAAATGAGGACAATGTTTGCACAATGAGGACAATGGTTACTTGGATGAATAGAAGGAAAATGAACTCCAAATATTTCTCGCTATATTTAAGCATCAACATTAGCGTATGTTTGTCACGAAATTCGATACCACAAAAAGAAATGAATTATGCGGAGAGGTTGGGTCAAGTTAGGTTGGGCAGTACGCGGTCCACGAATAAAAAGTACGCATCTACCAACCTGAACCCCTTTCATCTTGTGCAGAACAACTTAGACGGGAAAACGGTATACACTGGCAGGAGATAGCGGGTAGTGTGAAGAAAACTAGGGCGGGGAGTTTCTTAATTGGGCGCTTCTAACTACTATAAGTAACCTAATCAATGGTCCTGTGACAGCCTCCTACACCACGGTTAGATGAGCATCGTTCAAGGAGTGCTAAGTACGCCTGGACTCAACACACTGCCTAAATATCTTCAAGTCACAGAACCATAGAATTAGAAGCGACAAGTTTTATTTACGCTGCTACCACGGAAACGAAAATGATAAATACAAGCAATTGAACCGCCACGATGAAATCACAGCACATATCACATTTAATCACCGAAAACGACTATTATCTTCTCCTAAATGGCCTGTGTAGTCACAACCACCGCCCACAATAACCTTTAATTACGAATCCACAAAGAACGGAAGCTACACTGTTAGTTTGATTTTTGATAGATTCCTAGATATTTAGATTCAGAAGTAGAGCCTAATTAACGTCATAGAAGTGGCTTAGATATTGTCCAAAAGCCAGAAAGAAATTATGGAAAAACAAAAGAGTAATCATACGATGATGGAAATCGTAAAAAATCGAGTGGCGTGCATACACAGCGCATGCAGATGACGTCCCGACGACGTCGGCAACAACTTCTGTCCTAAACATCGTCATGAACCGCGCATACACGTCATCGCTTTCCTCCTTCATCCCCTCTTCCGCACTGATACCTAACATAACACGAACCAAAGGTGTCTTTCTTTTACCCAGAATAACATTTGCTTCAATTACTTCCCTATGAACAGTATAATCAACTCATATAAACTAAAAGGTTATGAATGAGAGCGCTGCTCAACAAAGAAGCGTTTTGATAACACCAAAACTACACAGCATACTACTAGTATAAGCCAGATTTACACTCAAAGACTAGGGAGATGAGGAACAGATGAATGCGGCGTAGATGCCGGAGTTGGACTCATACTGTTACAGCAAATTTCACACTCGTCAATATTTCCTGTTGGTTGTGTTGCGTCCATTTAATCCCTGGAATTTTAAAAACTGATAATAAATCATTCTAGACTAATAAGAGAATTTTCACATGAAATGTAGCAGCAAACGGGTGTCAGTTCATCTATCAGGTTGGAACGATTGAAATGTCGCTTCCGTTTGTGCCTTTGTTTCTCAGCTTAAACACAATCTCTTAGGATGGGAGACCATTCATTCGAAAGATTCAGTACGCATATTGCGAAATCTTAGGCGCTACTGAGCGGATGTTCTTCAGCCAAAACTTTTGCTCGAAGATGGTTGATCAGAAATCGTCTGACAATGAGCGTATCAATTCAAACGAATCCCACTCATTGTGTGCAAAACATTGAGCAGTAACACTTAGTCTCTGATGCACTTTCAGCTATGGTTTCAGCTCTTCCAAGACTGAGGTAAAGGACCTGAGGACGAAGATCGTGGATTTTGACCTCTAGCTCTAGATGACGGAGAAATAAAGAAAGCCAACGAATTGAGTCCTCGACAAACCGCACAAAACTTGCATGGAGATTCAGTTGTGTCAACAGAAAAATTTAAAAGTTCCTACGTGCGACTGTTAAGGCCTTTCAGGATAGAAAATGGGTTCGGCCTATTCTGAGCGACGCGAGCAAGCAGTACTGGTTGCCAATACTGGAACTTCGCTCCATAACTTCAAGAGGAAAAAGGTTCTTGACTTCGTGTTGACCGCATTTTACAAAGGGATGTTTCCCAATAATAACGTGAGAAGATGGCCACGGCTGGGAGCAGATAGACAGCTGAGGATGACTTCGAAATTGGACATCCACGGAAAAATAGACGTGCTACGGTGTGGTGGGAACAGTATGAAGACTGGCTTATTATGGAGAGCTGATTGTGTGTCAGACAGTTACAGCTGTACTCTGCGTATAACAGCTCCACCACGTGGGCCGAGCTACGCGTCGACAAAGGGTAAATTCGGCAAATGAAACATTATAGCACGATAATGCAAGACCACATGTCGCGAAAATCAATCACATGTTGCGAAAAACAACAAGAAATTGAGGGCTGAGACGCTCTGCTCTCGCGCCATATAGCCCAGGTCTGGCGCCGTCCGACTATCACTGACCCAAGGTCACCGCAACACTCCTTAGCAGCAAACCAATTCGATAACCGCGACGACGTCAAAATTTGAGTGCCCAACTTCTTCGAGTCGAACCAGAAAGAGTTCTACGCGGTAGGCATCCATGCTTTGCGTAACGAAAGGTGATGAGCCTGTGACACAGGTGAAGGAGATGGTTCAGGTTGATGTGCTTCATTATTGTTTTTATAATGAAAATAATTGATGATCGAAAACGACATTTCAATCGTTCCAACCTAATATATGACAATGATTGGAAATGCTGCGAAAGCTCTACTTGATCCGTAAACCTCCTTCACACGTAAGAAAATGCACGACATAAAAATGATGAAGAGCCCCTTCCACAAATATGCACAATGTAAAATGACACTTACCTGTAACATGGTTGGCGGTATTTTCACGCTGCTGGACGACGTTTTCAGGGAATCCAAACTAGTCGTTGATTGAGCGCTAGCGAGAGAAGACTGGCGAGCAGTCATATACTGATCCAAAGCGGTGGTCAAATCCCACATCTGTAATTCAACCCATAAACTACATAAGTGAATGACAGTATCATAATGAAGTCATTCCTAGCTTCAAAATTCACTAGTACTACTGATCCATAATACGTGCACATAGCAAAGGTTCTTGATAGATTTGTCATGAATCAATTTATCCGCTAGTATATTTGCAACAACGTGCGCTTTAGACTTATGAAGCTCCATGGAGAACGGAAACTGTGGGAGAGTGTCAAAAATTCACCTGCACACTTCCGCTAGTAGTTCCGCAGAACAGGAAGCGACGCGGACGGCTACCCATTCGATTCGAACCCTCACACTCATGAACAGTGAACGACGAAATTGCAGCTCCGTCTACAGATCGAATAGTGCATATCCTTAAAGATATTGTCATAGTCGGGCGATCTTTTTTAAATTAGAAAGGAACCCTCCTCAATGGTAATATACTAGGGCTTTACACACCTTTCTCCAGTAGAGGCCAGTCTCACGAAAAGCTGATTCGTGTTGGGAACCACACGCTGAACAAATACCTGATCACCATCTTGATCACCATATGGACCTGTAACGTCATGAAGTCGATTTGTCAGCTTCTTTACGACGTATCTTTGTCTGATATGTAGCTTGTGTCTACGAACAAACAATTAAAAGGTATACCAGGATCAGCGTAGTCTCGATCCACCGAATCGTCCGTAG